GGGGCGTGGCGGGGCGCGGCGGGGCGCGGCGGGGGGCGTGTGCGCGGCTAGGGGCGCCCCCGTTGTGTCCCGCTGGCCGGGTGGGTCCGGCCGGCTGGCACGAGTCCCACGTGGATATTACTCCCATCAGACCCGCGCTGAGTACGCGGCCCGGCCGTTGTGTCCCCCGGGCATAACGTAACACCAGAGCAGCTCGGGGAGCCGGAGCCACACGGAGGGGCGGAGTCCGCACTGCACTGCGGACGCAAGGCAAGGTCACGCCGGGGAGCACTTTTGCCGCCGCTTCCAGGTCCCTCCCCGTCCCCTGCACTGCCTCACATGCTCGGGGAGGCACTGCACTCCCGCTCTGCAGCCTCCCTGAAGAAGAGCTCTGCGAAATCTCTCCGAAAGTGACCGACCGAGTCCGCGGTCAGTGTCGGTTGGCCACTTTCGGCGATTTCGCAGAGCGCGGCTGGCGAGTCGATCCGACCATGCTTTTGAACGACCGAATTTTTTTCCCCGAAAATATGCGAAACTTTTCCATAAAAAATGGAAACACTGAAACTTTTCTCAAGAAAAAGAGATTTTTTGAAAGAAATTCTTGAAGAAATACTTTACAGGAAAATGTAAATAACGAGATCTGACTCATGCGGCATGTCCGTCCGGCCGCACTAGGCTACTTGGGCGCGGCCGGCGCACATCGACCTCCAAGTCTCGTCGGGAGCGTGCCGCCGCGCGAGCGCCAAATTCGAACGCACATCCACACACGCACGACACGCACTCACTCGGGGGCCTTCGCCTCGGCTGCAATTAGCCAGGCAGAAAAAAAAGGAAAGGTTCGACACTTGTGGTATCACTGGCCGCTCTGCACGAACAATAGGCTTTTGGCGGTGGCCTTCGCGCCAATTAAATGATCTGCAGGAATAGACTCCCAAAATGGTTATTGGTTTTTAAAGAAAGAAAGACGGCCGTTTTAGCGCTTGCTTCTATCGGGAGAGAATAAAGAAAGAAACACTTTGGTGTGCAATTATGAGAAAACGGCATCGAGCAGCAGCCTTTCTCGGAAAGAACGCAATGCCGTCCGAGCTGATTGGCCGGCGGGCGCGTGGCGTGGCGTGGCGTGGGCGCGGGGCGGCGCGCGAGAGGGGCTCGACGACTGACTTTGACATACATGCAGCAGGCGGGAGAGGGGGCGACGGAGACGGGCGCGACGCTTAACGTGCGGTCTTAAGTTCGAAAAAGGCGCAGCAGGTTGACCTGCTGACCGCGCGACAGATCGTCTCGTACTCTTAGACAACACCCGGGGGAAGGAGGGGTGGTCAAATTAAGGTGTAGTGTACACTTCAGAGAGTGGATGGCTGCCGTGAGCGTTTCTGCACGCACTCCTGCTTGCTTATCCATCCATACTCATCGCAATTGAGCGCTCAGGTTTGTGATTAGCATTTTAGTTTCTTATATCGTCATCATTTCGTCTCTGTTTTTTCTTGCAATGATATTTATGCACGGCTCGGATCAACTCATGAAACACAGAAGAAACAATAATCACGATGTGACGTCATCTAAACCTACTCTTGTTACCGTCAGCGTACCGTCGTACTTTTGGTAGTTGGCTGTGTATTCGAAACTGCAAGAGTATTCCACATTTTCTTTAAACGTGAGGTGTACGCTGGAACACGTTCTCGGTAAAAACAGTGTCTCTTTTTTTGAAGGAAACGGGAAAACTTTGCGGAACTCTCCTGGTTTAACGAAAACTCTTCACATTTTGAGGAAGTCTGAAAAACAAAAATGTGGGATTTTTCCTCGTTTTTTGAGAAGATTCCTCAAAATTTGAGGCGAGATCGGAGCACTCTTCCTCAGACATGGGAGTTCCTCAAAGTTTTCCCCTTTTCCTTAAAAAAATGAGACATTGTTTTTACCTTGTTTTTGTGCCGACCTGTGCTGTGCACACAATCAATATTATTGTTCTCTTGCATTGAGAGAGTGCATAGTGTACAGTCACACACACACGTCAAGCACGTATGCTGCTTCTCCTCTATGGGTTTGCTAACAACAACAACAACAACGGCCCATGCTTTGGGTGGCGGGCAGCTCTCTGTCGAGGAGCAGTATAGTTAGTAGTGGTTTGGCGGCGCTTTTATTGCCACCGGTTGGCTGCCGCTGCCGCTCCGGTGCGCGACCCTCATCGCCACGGCGGCTGTGTAATGCCGTGTGATTGGCGCGCGCACATCACACTACCACCTACTTTGTTTTTCCCGCCGCCGCCACACTCGCACAGCAGCAGCGCCGCGCCCGGGTGTACTACGCGTACCTCCTGGTGCTGCTGCTAATGGTGATTACCACTCGTCGCCACCACCGCCGAGCTCAGAGTGTATGGCTTGCCTTGTGTAAAATACAACAAGACAAACAAATAATAAAAATTTCAATGAAACATCCCTGTGTCTTTTTCCGGTTTCAATGGTTATAAAAATGACATTCTTTGAAGTTAAAACCTTGCAAAGCAACACGGAAAAAAAGACTTTGTTGTGGGAATCAGTTCAGTTTGGCAGGCCAAATTTGATAGCTAGAATCGAGAATCCGATACTCACAAGAAGGTTGGTTGTCACGACCGGACACTTGTACGAATAGAACCAAGCTAGAGTTTGTTCTATTCGTACAAGTATCCGGTCGTGGCACCCAACTCTCCTGGTTGTGGTTATCGGATTCTCGATTCCACCTATCGAATTTAGCCTGCCAAATATAATTGAACCTCACAACGAAGTCATATTTTTCTCGCGGAAATGCCAAATCCTTCGCAGTTGCAGTAAAGCAAAATGCTTCGTAATTGCAAAGGACTTGGCACTTTGCTTTGCAAGGCTTTAACTTTGTGTTGTGAACAAAAATAGGCAATAATAATAATTGTAAGTGTTTTGGCGCTCCGGCGGATTTCCGGCCGCGACGGGCGAAAGACTCCTGCTCCTCGGCCGAGGACGCATACTACTCGTTTGGCCGGTCGTTACATGTCGGTGTCGGTCTAGGGCTCGGTGTCGGGTCGCAGTGAGTGACCTGCAAGGCCGCCAAGCAGGCCCGACCCGGCCCGCCGCCGTCCGGTCCAGGCGCCGCGTGCGGGGCCCGCCCCGCGGGGGGAGGAAGCTGCATTCCCATGCATGGGGCCCGGCGAGCCAGCCGCGGGCGGGAGGCCAGTTTGGGCCGCGAGCAGAGCGCGCGGGGCGCGGGCAGAGCGCCCCACCCGCGCACTCCGAGGCGCTGTGCGTGCGAGGGCGTTGTGCAACCCGGCTCTCTCTCTATCTCTCTCGCCCACATCTCTCCCCATCTCTCACTCGTTTTCTCTGTCTCTCTCTTTCTCTTTGCAGCCAAATCGTTTTTCACGTCGTGTTGTGCTCGCTTCTTTTATCTTTTGAAAATCATATCGCACCGCGGCACCCCTAGCTCACTCGCGGGCGCGTTCATTCCACATGTTTTCTAGCACGTCGTGCTCACCTGGCTGCAACAACAGCAACAACACGCCTTCGCCTGCCATCTGCAGGACTAAGCTCTGGCTTAGTCAGCCGCGCCGCCGCGGAGGCCTCGCGCGTCTCGTCCCCGTGCACACAATTGAATTGCAATTAACGGAAGGAGGAGAAGAAGCGGCGGCAGCAACTCGCGGGAGGGCAGAGCAATCGCAGCTAGGTGCAGAGTAAGTGGAGGAGCGAGAGAGAAAAAAATAAAATAAAAACGCACGTCGGCAAATACCGAAGGCTGTAAATGAATCAGAGATATGCAAACGCTCCTTGGTGTCGATTGTCCTGACCGCCGCCGCCGTGGCTGCGCGCCGGCCGGCCTTGCATGCGCCGCCCCTGCCATGCGGCGGCCAGGGCAGGGTCCGGACCGGTACAGGTGGTGGTCCCGGTGGTCCCGGGCGGGTCGCCCTGTCACGCCCATCCGCGGCGTACGAGGCAGCCTCGCGGCAGCCCGGGCTCCGGGTGGGCAGGTGCACGTCGATGTGAGCATCCGGGTTACAACGCCCAAGTGTGACGCGCACGCGGCCACGTCCGCCAAAACAACAACAACAATCCAAGTCGTAGGAGAGGAGTCACGGGGTTCCCCTCTCTCCGATTCCGCGCTAAGTCCACAACACTTTTCATTATTTTCCCCTCGGCGCCATGATCCGGTGGCGGCGGCGTGGCTGCAGTCGATCCCCCTAGGATCCTCCTTTCAGGCCCCTTCCCCCTCCGCCCGTCTCGCCACGCCGTGTTCCGCAATGCTCCCGTGCGTATCCATCGCTCGCTGCACAACACCAACCTGTTATCCATATTTCAGTCGCCCGGGCCTGGCGTTGTGTGTGAGCTGCTGCTGTTGCTGCTTAAATCCTTCTGGCACGGTCCTCTGTTTCCGTCCCTCGCTGTCACTCTTCCTCTCTCTCTCTCACGCTCACTGCAGCTCACTCGCTGTCACTGGCGCGGAGGGGTGCCAGACCCCTGGGCACGACGCCATGCCAGAAGCACCATGTACAACACAAAGCACACACACACACGCGCGCGCGCGCGCAGATGAGTATCCACAAGCCGAGCCGCCCGCGCTGCTCCCGGACGTGTTCGCCGCGCCGCCGGTCGCCGTGAGTGCACAGGACTTGCGGGGAGCAGGACGACGTTCGTCCCTGCCGAGCCGAGCGTCCGCGAGACTGTGGTGAGGTGGAGGAGGAGGCTGACTGCGTGGCCCGGACTCCAACGCCCGCCTCTCCACTGCCCCCCCCTCTTCAGACTCTCCAGACCCCGTCCAGACGGACACCAGGACCGGCCCAGGAGGAGGAGGGGGAGGGGGCCGTTTCCGACGCACGCCACGGGGTTCGCACTCCCCTCCCCCTCCTTGCGCATCCGTGCGTCCCCCCGTCCCCCCGCCCCCCCACCCGTCACTAAAGCTGAAGAGTCGTTCAACAAAATCCTCATCGATTGGCTCATTACCTCTGTGAGACCCCTTTCCCAAGCCATCCGTGTGGGCCCGTCTCGCGTCCCGACATGACATGCCGTGCGGCGCATTGCCGAAGCGGCGTGTATTTCTCCGTATTTGACGCCTTTTATTTATCGGTGCCAAGGGCTGCGATGGGAAGTGGGAAGCTGTCTCGGCGCCCCTGCCTGCCGGTGGAACAAAAGCCCCGAGTCCCGGGGGAAACAGCAGTGCAGTGACACGCTCGCCCAACACGAGGGGTCCCTCACTATTGCTAACCACTGTACACAATAAAATTCCATCGTTTTTTCCAGTCACTTTTCATCATTTCAGTCATTTTCAATTATGTTTCAGACGTTTTCAATCACGTTTCATAATTTTTTTTTATCAAGGTTCAGTCATTTTCAATCAATTTCAGTCATTTCAATCAATTTCAGTCATTTCAATCAATTTCAGTCATTTCAATCAATTTTCAGTCATTTTCAATCAATTTCAGTCATTTTTAATCAATTTCAGTCACTTTTCATCACCTTTTAATCACTTATTCCCTGTACACAGAAGATCGGAGTAAGGGACCCTCTGCCCAACCGCAACCGCACGCCTCGGCCCTCGCTCTCCCGCCGCGCCGCGCCCCACACGCCGCACGCGCACGTTGGGCGGCCTACACTCGCGGGCGCGCTCCCGCCGCGCGAGCAAGCTGCAAGCCTCGCTGCAAGCGCTCGTGCTCGTGCCAATCAAACACGGATCGGCGAGTACATTTGCAAACAGCCGGCCTTGTCCCTGATTGTGTATTTTTAGACTACCACTACCCCTCCCGAACTGGTTTTTGCAAATAGAAACTGCACGGCCTGTCTGTCTGTCTATCTGTCTGTCTGTCTGTCTGTCTGTCTGTCTGTCTGTCTGTCTGTCTGTCTGTCTGTCTGTCTGTCTGTCTGTCTGTCTGTCTGTCTGTCTGTCT